ATGGGAATGCTTTAAAGAGTCAAGCAAATGCTTTTTGCAAGAGACTCTTCGCTACCGCCTTTGAAGCAAAGGGCTGAAGTAGATTAAAACACCAATTTTGTTTTTATCCACTTCAGGTAGTTTCGATCAAAACCTATAAACAGTTTATTGAAGAATACTACATACAGTAAACTGGACCCCCACTTTGAGATATTGAACTGTTAAACTAAAAGGGCACGTACCTGACTATAAACCTTTAGCCGCTTCTTTCAATCTTTCTTTGATTTTTACTTTTATATGTATATGTTAAGTCAGTGTCTGCTTCTATATCTTTTTCTCTCGGTGTGATAATGTTTTGGCACTCTTCAGCAACCTCTGACAATGAAAGCGATAAGACGCATCGAGAGTGGTTTCAAACGTTCGTTTGGCAAATGCTAGCGTGACACCTCTTGATAATATAAACATCATGACACACAAACAACTAATTTTAGCACCCTGTTTCATTAGGTGTTAAAAATAGTTGATAATTGTTTTTGACACGCGAGCTTGTACCTGACCATGAAAGGCTTTTGTATTTAAATCTGTCTGGGCAACTGAATGAACTAAGCTTTGTTTTCAAGACCAAATTTGGTCAGTATGGGAGCTAAAAAAGTAAACTAGGTTTCATCTATTATTGATGTGTAGTCAAAATTCAAAAACATGATGTGTTTCTGTGGCAACGATGTCAATATGTGATTAACACTGAAAATGTTGGCTAATATGTCAATAGTGAAATTCGAAGTTTATCGTTTTCGAAGTTTATCGTTTTTAAATCCCGGCAGCTTTACTCTGGGGTTAGGGTTAGGGGTTAGTGGTTAGGGGGGTGGGGGTTAGAGGTTAGGGCTAGGGTGGGGGTTAGGGTTAACAACCCAATAACTTATTGCTAATAACGGTTAACAATTACAATACTATATTGTTGATAACGCAAGGAGCGCCTGGTTTATGGATGCTGTGCCCTATCCTTACGCTGACTCTAACCGCTGACCCGAACTCATGAACAGCGAGACATGAATCTACAGTATAACCTTGCATTTGTTGACTTATTAGGAGCAAGGGAAATATTTAATACTACATATAAAGGGAACATAATACTGCATAAAGCGAAATCTTTAATACTCCATAAATCTAGCCCACGACAGGCTCGAGTCCGGAAAATATATTTATGTAACACACTGATAACAAATGTAATAAATAATGGATTATATAATGGAGTCATCTCTTTTATTGTTTTAATAAGAGGTCTTACATAGACCTTAGTCACGAGTATTATAGATACTTGCAACATGCAGTGTTCTAATTGCGGTTAATTGTTATTCTAACCGCAAAGTATAAAAAATATTTAATTATTCTGGACACGTCCGACTGCGAACTATAAAAATGTAAATTTCTTTCAATTTCGCATAGCCATAGATCTTAATTATTGTGCCATCTCAGCTTTTGTATTGCTGGGTCGCGTCTGGTATATATATGTACGTGTTTCCATGCCTCAAACTATCTTCTTTGTTTTTCTTTACAAAGAAATGTCTTGGCACGCTGATATTTTATTATTGTGCCTTTCATGCTGTTTCCAAGTGCTTTCATTTCGAATATATTGCGTTTATACCAAAACTTGCCCAAACACGTTCTGAGAGGCAAAGTTTAGGAACACATGCCTTACGTCATAGCAAAGTTTTGGGGGTTACGACTGAAAACACGCACAGGAATTTCACGAAGAGAAACCGGCTATTGAAATAATATTTGATTCACTATCCGTGGAATGTTAATCCACACTTTTTTAAAACCTTTCGTATGTCTGACGTATATATTTAAGAATTTTACTGAATTTTCGTCAGAATAAAATGATCATATCATATGATATAATCTAAAGACTAAAACCTAAGCAATTATGCACGACAAAAAATCCCTGAGTAGTAATTTTACACAAAAACGTATAATGGGTAAAAATAATGTACCCCACAGTGACTCGAAAATTTGAGTAAAATTACATCGGAGCAAATTTATCGGAGCAAATTTACTCATTTTTTTAGTAAAGTTTCAAACTTACTCAATGTTTTAATATTAAAGTGAAGATTTACTTCATTCAAAAAATAAGTATGCACTCGCTCATTAAATCATAAATTTGAGTAACTCAATATTTTGAGTTACTGTAGATGCATTATTGTACTCAAGTTTTTTAATCAAAATGTTTTTCAAACATTTCAGTCATCTCAGGAATACCCCGGTTTAGAGGTTCTTGTGTTTTGAATGAAATTACTAAATATCTTACTAAATATATATATATATATAGTGAAGAACTGATGGGGACATATTACTCATTAGTTAAATATTATTAGTTCTTAGAATTTTAGTTCCGTGATTAAAAATAAAGTTTGGTTTCAATCTGCGTATCGCAAGCGATTCTATGAACAGCAATAAGTGCATGATTAGCTCTATCGATTATTTTACAGATTTTAAAAAGAAAATCAAATAGTATATACGTGTTATATTATTAGAGTCCTGTTAGTTCATTATAGTTTTGATATAATTAAATTGTCACATGATGAGCTGTGGTTATACAAACTTCGCTTGTTGAGTGTTCTTTCATCTTAGTGTATAAACAGCATCATTAAACTTTAATGAATGAAATTACTATTTTTAAAGAGGTCATTGACATTGTGCGTTTCTCCATGCCCATGGATTTCTGGCTATTTTTATATCAAGCCCTTGACGCCTTAAGTGATTTTGAAAGTGTTAATTGTTTTGTAATCGAGCCAATATAATTTTGCTGACAGAGACTGAGAGTGATATTTATATGACATATAACAGAAACGCGTATGCCCATGAAACATCTGGAAAAAGTAATCGTTATTAATAGGAACAAATCTTACATTCTTTTTGTTTTACTTTCACTTTAAAAACAAAGAACTTTTAATGCTATTTATTATGACAGCCATTCATATACGTGGCAATTACGCTATAAGCTTACACAATCTCGTTAAAAACGAGTCTTTAATTTTGGCTGCATTTTGCATCATAGCGCTTGTGTAGAAAAATGCTTTAAAAATCTTATATTCATATGTCATGTTGAAGATTACCACAAACTGATACAAACACAGTTTTAGTCCAGTCCCCCCTCGGCAAACTGACGTCTGTGATGACAAACTGAACGTCGATTGCTTAAGCTTCCTATATATATATATATAGTTATGATAAAGAACTCGCTTCCAAAACAACTGACAAAGACCTACGATTATTGAATCTATAGACAGCAACTCACAAAAACCACACAAACAAAAACAGCCACCCGACTTAAGACATATACTGATAACGAAGCAACTATTCTTTGTTTGCAATGGCAATGCCAATGACGTAATTTTGGGATTTCAGTGACGGGCAGGTATAACAAAAAACGGCTATTTTAATGTATTGATCGAGTTTAGAGACAGTTTAAGACTCAAAACATGAATTACCGTTCAGTTTTTCTCGCTACAACCATTCTGATAGGAGAAAAATCGTCCACAAGTTGTTTGATTGCCCGTCATTTGGATGAAAAGTCACGTGATTGCAAACAAAGAATAGATTGAGTTCTGAAATATCACGTTCTCGAACCGACTTGACCTTAATTGCATGTATAGCTTAGGAGTTAACAAGGCAAAGGTCACGATTCTATTAGCATACTTTTCAGCCTGTCTGGTGTGGATACACTCATAGAAGATACTAGAATCAGCGAAAAGACAACACACCTGAATTCAACACCACAACCACCAAACGTAATACCGCAAAAAGATTAATAAAGATTAAATTAAAATAGTTCCACGTTTCAAGCAAAGACTCTTTATCTGCATGGCGTTAGTAGCGAAGCCGTATAGGGGCTAAATTTCTTTTCATGACAGATTGTCGTCCATGTTTGCGGTTCTAAATTTATCCAACGTTGCATTTGTTGCACCACCTAGATATCTGTTTGCGTGCACAAAACTATTAAAAATAACAAAATTATCATAAACCATGGTCCGTGCCAAACTTTGCACAGGGTGACCTTCATTAATTGTGACAATATCCGTGTTAGAACAATGAAAGTATTAATTAGAGAGCCTCTTAGAACTGAGAACTTACAGTGACACAGGAAATTATTTCAACCTCATCAATTCATGATAAACTCCAAGGGTTTATATAATCAATCTGAGGTGACATTGTCCGCTGACAGACTCACACGAGTTTCCTATTATTTTGGATCTAAACCGTGGGAAGTTGTTTGGAAGTTAAAATGTTTATACCGGACATATGCTCCGGTATGGCATGAAAAATTTACTGTAGAATTTTTAAACTTCCAAGAATATTGAAAGATTTGTTGAGGGATATGATAAGCTATACAAAATTCGGTTAAATGTATACAGTATATGTATAATATTAATTTCAGGTAGTTAAATGGCAGTTATTTTGAACTCAATGTCACTCCACATTTGGAGTTAAATTTGGTTCAAAATAACTCCACTATGGAGTTAAATCAGTCTGGGGCATAAATTGACAGGGATATAGCAACTTGTATAATATATGCCGGATAGCTCGAAAAATTGAGCATTTGTATATTTTTTCATGCTTTTTTTTTATATTATCTTTCCTTGAAGATATATAGGAGTCTGTGTGTGTTAGAATAATCTTCGTGTGACACTATACTTTTAATTAAACACAGTCTCGAATTTAGATCACGGCGAGAGTAGGATAAAACTGTAAAAAAATGCAATCTTACATTGTTCGCTTTGTTTTTTCCGTTCCACATGTAAGGCTGCATGTTTACATGATCAACGTTTCTGGGATCACAGTAGGAATTTTGCATAGGTAAATTCTAAGTTTTGAAGGATTTGTAAGAAATGTTTGTGGGAACAAACTCAGTTTTTTAACAATTTAACAGTTCCGTCAAATATTTCTTATACAAATCCTTCAGAACCTAAAATATACCTTTGCAAAATTCCTACTGTGATCACAGAAACTTTGATAGTGTAAACCATCCTTTATAACACTCAGTAAGTTTCCTCAAACATTTCTTACAAATCCTTCAAAACTTAGAATTTCCTTTGCAAAATTCCTACTGTGATCACAGAAACTTTGATAGTGAAAACCATCCTTTATAACACTCAGTAAGTTTCCTCAAACATTTCTTACAAATCCTTCAAAACTTAGAATTTTCCTATGCCAAATTCCTACTGTGATCACAGAAACTTTGATAGTGAAAACCATCCTTTATAACACTCAGTAAGTTTCCTCAAACATTTCTTACAAATCCTTCAAAACTTAGAATTTACCCATGCAAAATTCCTACTGTGATCACAGAAACTTTGATAGTGTAAACCATCCTTTATAACACTCAGTAAGTTTCCTCAAACATTTCTTACAAATCCTTCAAAACTTAGAATTTACCTTTGCAAAATTCCTATGTGATCACAGGAACTTTGATAGTGTAAACACCCTGAACCTTCATTCCTCCATTTTTCATTGTTTTTATTCAAGGCAAACCCCAAGGGATTATATAATCAATCTGAGGTGACACCTCTCACGCGGGTCTCCTATTATTTTAGAATTAGCTAAACCGTGGGAAGTTGTTTGGAGGATTAAAATGTTTATACAAGTATCACAATAGCACAGAGGTCATTGATTCAACTAGAGCCGGACATCTAATTTAAGATGACGTGAAAAAAAATAAATAGTCGGCTGTTGAGGGAAATGTTATTTAACTTGTATAAAATCAGTTGCAAAACGTAAAATAATATGCCGGAAACTAATTGAGAATTATTTAAGTCTTTTTTGTCTTCAGTAATTTTAATTGAGAATTTGTTTTCGTTTTGTCCATTCTTTTCAGTCATTCATCCATGCATTCTTTCATTCATACATTCATTCTTTTTCCCACTATTCTGTCTGACTCGGAAAAGCTATTACTAATGTTAATTAAAGTTTTATTTTTTTATTATTATTTATTTTTGGCCTGCTCTGTCACCTAACTCACCTTAAATCGCAACCAAAATTGGGCGAGTTTTCTTTTAACCCCCTCCCCTAAATTAACATCTAATAAAGCGAGTTACCATCCCTGCAATGAGTCATACAGCTATTTCAATTAAGGTTGTCCCGCGAGTTATTAGCGATTCCCAGCAGCCTTTCGCGCTCGTATTCGACTTTTCCGCTTTGCTTGGGGGACAATCTTAATAATTGAAATAGCTGTATACAGCCAATTCAAAAAAGGTTGTCTTTTGCAAACCTTAAACTCTAAGTGCGCAAAGCTTAATGGGAGCATACGTTTCAAGCTTAGTAGTTGAATATTGCAGCTATTTGTGAATGAATTGTTCTCGTAAGGCCGGAGATATTTACCATGTTTGTCTCTAAGAAATGGGCCCCATATATGATTTCTAAACAGGGCTCGAAGTAGAGAACAAACATGGCCTGCCAGTCTAAAATTTTTTGGCAGGTGAAATAAATTTTAGCCCGTCATTTTTATTCATTGAACTGTCAAAACGGCGATGTCTCATGTGAGTCATATTGTAAACATCAATGTTTTCGTGATAGGCTATGCATTTTTGTCTATTTTACTACAGTAAACTTGGATTTACATTTCAAATATAAACGTATTTAGTCAACTAAAGGATCTAGTATATATGAGTTGTGGTAAGCAAATGAAATGAAAGGGAAAGTTGACAGGGTGGGTTATAGGCATATAAGGTCTGGAGACAGATCATTAATGAGGTATGGACTAATAGCGGCAGCTGCTCAAGCGCCATTTGTAAGCTCAAAGTCTACCTCGGTCTGCTTCACGTCAGTCCGGTTTTATCTATCTATTCATAATGTAACCAGTCACTGAAAAGCCCTGATAGGGAGTGTGCTGTGAATTATCTGTATTATCTGTATCAGTATAAATGAAATATATCTAAACTAGAAGTTCACCTGCCATTTTTTTTTGACTTGGCAGTTCAAATTTGTTTTTGCCTGCCATTTCTAAAATATGGCTTGCTTTTGGCCATTGGCAGCCCGCTATTTCGATCGAGCCCTGTTTCTAAACTGGTTAAGTGATACTCCCATTATACTTTGCACGCTTAGAGTTCAAGGTTTGCAAAGGACAACCTTTTTTGAATTACCTGTATAAGCATATGTTGTGCTTGACATGCTTGATGTTTTGCTATATTGTGTTTCTTGACCTCTGGCTCTGAACAAATTCCCAATTCCCATTATAGACTAATTTTAAAACTAGGCAAGGAGATGCAAATAAATTACCACAGCTAGAAAGAGCATACTAAAATTAGTAAAATTGCAAAGTTTAGTTGCGAAATGTTGTAAAATGCGGAAAATATAGCCTTGCAAAGTTTGCAAATTTTGTATACTTTTGTATTGCGTGCGGAAATTCCTACCACATTTGAGCCCAAATGTCCGAACTGTCTATTGCATACACGACTCGATCAACGTGTTTCGACACTCAAATCTGAAGTTTCTAGACTTAGGCCATGGTCAAACGTCGAACTTTTCATGTGCCGAACCTAATGCAAATGAAGTGAAACAAAGAACTTAGCTCATTAACATTAGGTTCGGCACATGAAAAATTCGACGTTTGACCCTGGCCTTAACTATGTCCAGTGCCTTTGTTTTTCACACAATCACTCTTGGCTTTGTGTCGTTCATCATTTCTTCATATAAACATTGAATCATGTTTCAAATTGAACTGGAGTGTTCAACATGTCCTCCTTTATATAAACATTGAATCACGTATGTTTGAAGATGAACTTAAGTATATTAAAGCACTTCATTGAGTTGCACGCGATATTTCGAAACGTTGAAAAACTTAACAAAGAAGCGTTTTCAGAATATTAATTCGGATTTTTTTTCCTTGAAAATATCGAAACGGAAGTATACATGTGAAAGATTTTATTGCAGAACAATGGGCGGAAATGATTAAACCATCACACTGCGCTTTGTCGGATTACCGCGTCATCGTCATTATATCCAAAGCAAAAAACTCAAGGATCTAAAAGTTTGCATGAGCAATATCTATATTTAGCAACAACTGGAGAAAAACACGACACTTTGTAATCCCAATTTGTAATATAATTTAAGCTTAAATAATTAACAATTTACCTTTACAAAAATCATCTAATTTACATATTAAATCAAGCCACATGCTAAAACTAATATTTGCCTTTGTAATTTTCAAAACAACCCACGCTAAAGCAGAACTACTGACAGTGCTTATTGCTTATATACTTGTTCTTCTATTGAAAATACAAATTATAAAAATCCCCATTTCTACTGTATAAATCCCGAATTACATTATATACACTATGTCCATGTACATAATTTATAGTTTGTACACCTAGTTTATAATTACAGCTTGAATCATTATCTATATATACACAACTCACAAGACTCGGTTTACACTTGCAAGTTTTGTTGCGATTCAGTCAGTGCGATTTTCTACTTCTGATGGATGTGAATGAGTAGATGAGTTATGAATGTTCTGAGTATACGGCAATTGCTAGATAGTATACTTCAAAATAAGATTTCCATTTTTATATCAATTTTTAAAATAATTTAGGGTTAGGTTAGGGTTAGGTTAGGGTGAGGGTTAGTATTAGGGTTAGTATTAGGGTTAGGGTTTAATTTTGCGTTAGGATAGTTTTTTCTACGTTATAAAAACGGAAACCTTATTTTGAAGTATACTATCTAGCGATCACCCTGAGTATACATTCATCAGTAACTCATCCACTCGTTCACATCCATCAGAAGAAGATAATCGCACCAAAAAAACACAGCAAAATGATTGGAAGTTGTAAACGAGCCGTAGAGATAATATCTACATATATTTACTATTTAACCGCAGTATTACACAAATTCCTTTTGTTGACCGGATATAAAGCGACGGCCGATAGAACCATAGTTAATATAGAGGTCAGTCTATATTAACTATGATAGAACAAACACAAAGGAAAGTAACTAAGGGCAAAGGACAAGTATTTATGCATATTGTTTTTCTAAATTAATCAATGTGCATTAGATGAAGACGAAGTATCAGGCGGACTGAAAAATCCACCGTCTCTTTATCAACTCTCTTATCGTCTCCGTTTATCATCTCTTTATCGTCTCTTTTTGATTTTAAATTGATTTTAAAAAGAAAGCTTGTCTTAGCATCAGACAGTTGAAATCCCCTTTCGAAACATGTTATGTCATAAGTCTATCTATGCGTTCATTTCTGAGTATAGAAAGTCATGCACATGAGTCATCATTCTGCTCATTCTTAGAATCGAAAGCTCTATCGAAAGTACTGACGGAATCAATTTTCTGATCTTTAGAATTTAAACCAACAAACATTTTGGAATGCGCCCAAGAAGTAAAATTACATTCACGTGCACAGATCATGCATGTTAGACTGTTTTGCTGCGTAAGCATGCATCCTCCAAGCTGGGGGGCAAGAGAAGAAAGATGACCTAATATGGTATTTCTAGTATCGTCGATCGGTCGTATGTACATTGATTATGCTCACGTGCAGAACTTAATAATCAACTCTGAAATGTTTGTTCCAAACATTGAATTTTTAATGAGATTAGTCATTAGACAATGTTTTTATCTGCGACTGATCATCCCTAAATAATTCAAACGACGAAATAGTACGGGCCTCTTAGAAAATCTTCCTATAACATTGAAAGGTACCCTCCTCCCTTTCTGAAACTGACAAATTTTGTACATGCAAACTTTGGAAGTTCCTGCATGTGTATATCTATGACATAACTATTTACATATCTACAGTACAATTACCAAATTTGGTCACAAAATATAGATACATTCTTCAAACGTCCTGTCCGCTCCAAACGCCGAGAGCAATCTGTCTCCATTATGGCGCCTGACGAGTTTGACATGTTTAAACAGCTGAGCTCCAAAGTCATTAATATCAGTGTACAAATCCGTGTGCATCATGTCATTTTGTAAACTTTTCTTAATTGAGCCATCCCCTGCCCTTTAGATAATATCGCCATTCAACTTTTCTTGTTCTATTATGCCTCGAGTTTTCAAACTTCCAACGAAGAACTGTCACATGGACACACAACACCACGAACAAAATTCACTATATATTTACTGCGTTAGATATTGACTGTTTCTCCTTTAATTATTCCTCACTGGGATCCGATACCACAAACACACACACACACACACATCACGACCAAAACTACAAACACCCATCATTCATTTCTTATAAATTTGCTGTGTACAAACTTGCAAACCCAAAACACAGCTAGACCGGTCGTTAGTCCGAAAGACGCACAACCAGTTATTTCCATAATCTGTTCATAGGTCCAATTATTCTGTGCTGCTCTGTTGTTTGTTGCATCCCCAATTCTTGCGAGCTCTCGCCCAAAGTAATGCCGAAAGTTTATGTGATCTGGATTATTTTCTGCCATTGTTTTTTCGGAGAATGTTAGAAGGTTTATAGCGTGACAAAATGTCATATAGAAGTGTCCAGATTGTTTGCTTTGTAAATTGATTTGATAATTCAACAAATCTCTGTTTGCGCAGTAGTGCGTGTTCTCTTTTTCTTCAGAAGTGTTTGTGACAAACCGCCTGACCTGAAATGAAAGAGAATCAATTTTTAAGTTGGATATTTATAACTGTAGTGACGCCAACGCTCAAAAGGCACAGACGTGATATTGCGAGGAATCTTATAAACAAAATTTAAAAGTCTTATTTATATATACTGGATGGTAGCGTCATTCTCGGTAGGGGTCCAGCGACATTACCACGCATACATTACTGGTCTGGTATTGCTATATATAGAAGGCGGAAAAACGTGCGGAATTTGGTAGATTTTTGGTAGATTTATGAAACGACTTTAGTGATGAAAGGCAATGCTGCACTTCAACACTTGTACTATAATTCTCTTTCGTCTCCCAGGAAGGTGTCTGTGTCCCGTGCTCTCTTGGAAATGTCCCCTTTGTTTCCTTAATAATCTTCCAACGTTTATGAGTGGTTCAAGTAAAAACGAAACGTTATACGCATACGGAAAATGACTTTTTTTAACAAATGTGTTAGTTGACATTATGTTGGTTATGAAATAGTAAAAAAGTTATTATGCTGTGCATGACAATTCGTTTTTCAGTACTTGAACCACTCACAGACCTATTTCCTTGTTGCCATGCATAATTTTTGGCTTTGACCTTTGTGCTGGTGCCCCTACAGCAAAATAAGCCTTGTTAAAAAAATAGAAACTAGAAGACCTCTTTTAGTCTGTATATGCAAAGTTCATGCAGAATCTGAAATCATTTTTATCCTTCTTCACTTCAGACGTGTACACTGGTGAAAGGGCAAAAGACAGAAACCCCCGGTGTCATAACAAGCTACTATAAACACATATGACGAAGCTTGGTCGAATAATCCTGAAATATTGGTAAGTGCATGATGCGTGAATTACTATGTCTATGTGGGTAGACACTGGGGGTAGACATGCATGCAGAATATTAAAGATATGCGAGGGAGACTTAGATCTGAATATTACTAACAGATCTATTTAAGGTTATTAGTCGTTTAAATGAAAAGATACATGTCACTTTTGAAAGCGAACTAACAAGATAAGAATAGTTTGGCAGCCAAACAAAAACACGATGTTTTACAATAGTTTAGGTATAATGAGATTCCCGCCCCCAAACTATTATCACGCAATTAATTCGACCAACTCACGGAAAAGATTATCTTTTTCTTTTCAAAGTCGTATGATAAAAACAAGATTCATGCCGTTTGTAAATTAAACACAAACATGTAGATTGTATTGTATCACATGCAGATAATGGGAATCCCGCCTCAAAACCGATTATATCATGATTAATTTCAAGCAACGGAGATCATAATCTGTTTTTAAAAGATATAATCATCCGTTCGAGGAATGTAAAATTCCATGACAAAGCTATATTTTGTTGAGTATATAATTTGTGTGAAATTGCGAAAGATTTCCACAGCGAAAGCCAATATTAAGACAATTAACAATCATTCACCGAAGTGGAGTTTAAGAATGCAAGAATATTCACCGAAACGCGATGACTTGTTTTAGCTGATATAAACATGACAAAAAAACAACAAAAAATATTTTTAAAACAATTTGTATTTCAACTCCCGTAAATAACGTAATAGTTGCAAACAAAACAGTATTCTCGACAGTATTTACAGGCAATTATATTCATTAGAAATAGTCTGAAGAATACCTTTACACGCTGTACGTGGCTTTCTTGGTGTTTGACGAAACCGCTGCTCCGTTTAGCACAAAAAATTGCTTGTCTCATGTAAAACCGGAACGACACGGGAAGCCATTTTGTTTTTGTCCGGAGTTTGCGCGAGAGAACTATATGCACCTCTCAAGTATATGTTAACACCATATGATACAGTCTCAAAATATGGCAGGGATATATGCTAATTTTTAAAGTGGATGACGATTCGTATACTTTAACATATCTAAACAACGATGTTTTGCAAGGCTGAAAAGAAACCCGTTCATGTGCTTCAACACCAGCGTGTTTTGATTTGACTTTAAAAAAAAAACAATCAAAACCTCAAAACGACAAAATAGAACTCTTATTAAAAAAAAGAGCTACCGGTGGAATTACAGTTGCGTGCATATACACAATCTGCTTGTAATTTGCAAAAGATTAAGATCTAAGCCTCCCTATAACGGAGTGATACAAAATATAATATTTGCATACGTAAATCCCTTCAGGAATTCAATTTTTGGCAAAGATAAAGTCGTGACAAACAAAAAGGAAAAAAAATATTCCGTCACACCCTTCCTTAAACCGAATGTAACAAATACAAATATGATAAATTATAGATATTTATATATTTCTTTGTTTCTATTGACTTGAGTGAATAAGATTAAGCCTGGTTTAGACCATCAACATTTCTGTGATCACAGTAGGAATTTTGCATTGGTAAAGTTTTGAAGGATTTCTAAAAAAAATTTAAGGGAACTGTTAAGCTTTTAAATACTTAGTCAGTTCCTTCAAACATTTCTTACAAATCCATCAAAACGTAGAATTTACCCATGCAAAATGCCTACTGTGATCACAGAAACTTTGATTAACCTGCAGCCTTTACAGCACTTTGTTGCACTTATACCACAAAAACCAACTGCCTGAAATTGTTACTTTTTGTTAGGCCTCACCGGCAGGTTTGCATGTAACAAATATGAGGTATATATATATATATATATTTATATAGCTTACTGATATAGTTGTTATATTGCTTCGCTTCCACTGACCTTCGACTTGAAATAGGATTAGAACACGTAGAAGTCCCTCACCACAAAAACCAAAACATAAACTGACTTACAAATATGACTGACTCGTTATTATATAATATTTTTAATAACCTGTGACTGACACAACTCCTGTGGCGCTTTGGGGGATTTTACAGTTTTAATTCTAGTCCAAACACAATACGATTATAATTCATAACTCCGCCTACTGTAATTATTACATCAATATCAAACAGAAGCTCGTAAAAACACAATTGTAGCTTAATTTTCAAGCGAAATGACTTTAAGTACTGCTAGACTTATGGTCTCCCTTGAACAGATGTTCAAACGTTATTTGGTTTTGGGTTAAAAAAATGTGGCTGAATAAGTTTAATACGACCCCAAATACCCGTAATCTTGTAAAAAACAATGAAATAATCACAAAATTCTTAACTGTTACGCTTTGGTATATAAACTATCGTATATGCTATCTGGTTTACATTAGCCTATATTGTTACTTGATAACAGCGCAATTAAATTGAAATATTATCAGACATGCCCGGGCAGCTTCGTTTCAGCGCATCATAATTAAAAATACGTTTTATACTGAACTTGGCATATCAAATACAAACAAAACTAACGAAATAGTCTCCTACAAAGACAGCAGTCATCTATCTAACTGCGATAACTACACGATATGAGCTTAGAGCCCTGTTTATTTCAATTAAGTTCAATTTTTACTACGATGACGTCAAAACCGTTTTGGCGGGAATTTTCCCGCCAAAAATAAAACTTCGTTGGCAAAAAAAAAGACGCTGTAAAAATTGCACGAAATGTGTTTTTCTTTGACAAAAGTCGGTCAAAGGAAATTGTTTTTGGTCGAACAAACCCGAGAAAATTACAAAAAGGCGCCATACGAACTGGCGATAGCTCAGCTTGAGATGAACGTCATTGCACTACAATGTTATTGTGTTAGCGAAAACATTAGGCGCCCTGTAGTCTATGCTGGGTTTGAATTTTCTCAAATAGGTTAGCCAAAGCGAAATAATAATGAAACAGTATGTCACGCAAACAAATAATCCGTAATAACGCCTCACTACAGCACAAATGGTTATCCGGCTTGTTTTTTTTAAACATTTTTGTACAATTTAAGGCATTATATGAAGACCTATAATAAGGCCACCTAAAAATTAAAAAAAACATACAACGCAGCGATGCACGCGTTAGGCACACTCGCCTCGTGCCTGCAACCCAAGGGGTGACTATAAATTATGGCTTATTTGTCATCGTGTTGACCCCATGGCATTGGCATTTAGAGAAGATCATTTTAAGGCCAAACAGAGAGCTGTCAGGAGCTCTCACCGTGATACAATTAAAACTGTGGTATCGATGATATATCTATGCATATATGTTAGCAATTTTGAAGCGTGTAAATTATCGATTACAAGAACAATTATATTGATAGTTCTTTGCTGATAAAGCATTATGTTATAAAAAATATGACGTATTTCTCTATAAGCAATAGTACATTGCTGTTAAAAACATGAACAAAGATCACAATTCAATACACTAATACACATAGTTATTACTGGCAAGAACCTGTTAATACATACATTTCTAGGAATGAGAGCTTGGACCTTCAACACTATTTGGTATAGTCTGCATTTGCGACATTCTAAGACAAAACCATGCATGGTGGTTATCGGTTGAATAAACCTAGACAGTTTGGGTTTATTTCGACACAAGATATTATAATTGCGTATTGCTCAATATCTTCTGAAAGACTAAATATCATATTATCATTTTCAGCATACGTTTACACACACTCTATATCTCAGCGCGATCTCTGAATGCGCAAATTACAGCCTTAGATCCACATAAATGTTACATGATAAAACGTCATCTCATGAACTTCCATGCAACTAATACTATTCATCATTATTCATCATTAACACTTATATTGTGAAACCTGAAATTGGCTTAAAATAACATTGAGTCGCGAAAACGTGTCTTCAGGCATGCAGAATTCGACAACAAACGCAACATATTCAATAGAGTGTACAACGAGTAAATAATATACAAGCGACAGCTTGACAACATACACTTAACCGGCATATATTGTATAACTAAAAGCAGAGCGACTGGAACTGCATGAGTTCACCGTCTAGGAAGAATATATATATATATATATATGCTTCCAATGACCAGAAATATAGACGCCTTCTGTACATTGTAGATAGTAATATCGCTCGTTAACAAAACCAAAACACTAAACAACTAAGAATATTGCCCTAAAATATGCCATATTAACCCATATATAACCCTAAACATTGTAACATTTAACCGGTTTACATATATAGACCTTGACCCCATGACGCATTCAAAATTAACTTCGATCGATAATTCGTCTTTTGAGACCGCTACCGAATGTCCATTATCAGATTTACAAACGATATAATCCGGGTTACATATAAACAATGAAATAACAATGTGTATATCAATATGTATACCTTTAGTTTATACCAATTATGTGCAGCACACAGTTCAACAATGATACTTCTCCGCCTCCTTGTCCGTGAATGACCGCCTCTTATCTTAAATTGCGTGACCCTGTATGGGTTCTTTAGTTTTATATGTCGTCTTTGCTATTTAAACAAGCCTAAATGTTTCCTATTGGCTGGCGACATTTTGTTTACGTTAATGTGACAATTTAAATACGGCTCAACAGCATCCGTGAATAATGAGGTCTATATTTTGACACGAATATCTATACGTCGTGACCCTGTCTTCGATGTGACCTTGTCCCCTTTGTTAGGCGCAATGGAAATTTTCTTCAGCAGGAAATTCAAGTCTCATTTCAATTTCGAGAAGAAGGAGTGTCGAAAATGACTTCTCGAGGAAAGGCCCATCCTGATTCCTGAACTATAAAGACAACTTTGGTTCTATTTTGGAATCTAATAGCAATGTTACAGGAGGCAGTTTTTCCTGGAACTTGCAACACGCACAATTTCGGATACAGAGCCATGCATATGTAAAAATAGTCACATATACAGAGAAATTGTGAGCATGTCCCATGCATGATTGACCCTGACGACACTGTTTTTACATAATGAAAAAATGTCGGCAGAGTAAAGCATGCGAGTTCCTGCGACTAGTTTTTAGATAACATGGCTCTATGTCAGAAATTGCGTTGCAGCAAAAATTCGTCGCAGTACTAAATAATAACATGTTTGTATCTAACGAGCATTTAAATGTTTCAATTCAACTGAACCAATCAACGTGTAGCTAGTTAAATCTCATTGGCTGATCAAATTGAAACTTGTCAAATGCAATTGATACTAAACAGTGAAAGTTTCACACACAAGAATAGTAATGCTTGTTTTTACCAAAAGGCAAAAAAGTTTTCCGAGTGGATAAAAACTCCTTATATATTTCCGCTTCCTGAGTTTAGAAGACCGATTTGAGTAAAAACAGATGCTTTCCCTGAAAGACATGCTTTGTCGTTTGTTGTTTTTAATGAGCGTTAATCGCCCATCAAGTGCTGATAAACTGCATCTTCCCATGCGCTTGATTGGTTAAGCTGCGTGCTTAAACGGTAGCAGGAAAACATTTCAGTGTTAATGTTAATCTGACGATCTGACATTGCCAAGTTTTCTTGAAATCGAAAGAAAATAATACAAAACGTTACAGTAGTTTTGTGATCGGCAAACGCGTCAATCCATCGTCATCGATCCACTTAATTAACAATTTATTCAATTCATAGGCTATATATATATATATATATATAGATAAAGATAAAATAAACCTCATGGTTTACTTAGTTAGTTTACTTAGTTTATTTAGTGAATAAATCTTATGAAGTAAACCAGGTTTATTTTATCTTTATCTATATTAGCTCTATACTTCGGTATATCGGACACTCTACTCATATATGATTCTAAATACATATTTGGTATATATATATATATATATATATATATATATATATATATATATATATATATATATATATATATATATATATATATATATATATATATATATATATATATATATATTGTATATATATTATAGCACACTATTAACTGTGATTATAGCTACATGCATTCTTCTTTGCCCCTTGACCTCAGTTCAGTGGGTTTAAATCGATTTACTTTGGTTTTTACAAGAATGGTAATCTTATAATACTGCATATAATATCTACATAGCCTTATAGGATTTATTTTTGGGTGGCATCTCTCTAATCCTTCTATTAAAACGGACGATCGTTTGAAAATCAAGCTACTATAAATTCTACATACCAACCGTCGTTTTGAGATATTGATTATTTAGTTTTGAGTTTTGGAAAGACGTAATACTAGATCAGAAGGTCTCGAAAGCAAGCCTATGGTTACTATACAAAGAGCATTCTGAATATATACTGTAAGGCGGATTAATTTGGGCATCACTGACACTCGATATAACTAATTGTATAGAAAGGTCAATAGTACATAGATGGGCCTATATAGTTGCATTTTTTCCCAACTCCTGGTTATAGGTATAATAAACGTATAAAATTCACACTCAAAATTTATACGTCGAATTTTGGTCGCGTAGAATGCAATTAAGACAATAGATGATGAGATGATAAACCTCATTAAGCTTCATATCTATATTCGGTTTGAATTGCATTCGACGCGAGCGAAATTCTACGTATAAAACAGGCCTTAAGTTTAACCGTTCTACAATTAAAATTTACTGTATAACATGCATGTCATGAATGAAACTCGACGAAGAAAGGAACATAAAAGCCCAATGTTTACAAATTTCAATTGGAAAAGTCTAGAACAAATTAAAGCCAAAGGCAAAGTGTATGCATATGAATCCGCTTAGATTTTCGCTTTTGTGAGTTTGAACTTTCTTTCATTAATATATTAATCTAGTGCTGACCTTGAATATATCTTTCTATATAAAACGGTGAGCAACGCGGCTAGTGTTGTCATTTTAGGAATTAGGGAAATTTTAATGAAGGGAAAGTACCTCTAAACCCGCTGACTGTCATATGACATCTATATGTAGCACTTAGCATACAATAGCTTTGAAATATTATGCTGACATGCAGTGTTTATTATTTGCATTTATATACATATACTTACAGATGATTAATATTTTATATGATCTGCCTTGGCAGAGTGCGACAATTCGCCGCGTACTTGTGGTATGTCCTATAGCTGTTAAATATAAATACAATTTATTAAAAGAAAGCCTTACGTGCTATACAAAATGATGAAAAAAAAAATTACATAAACAATTTGCATTTTTTGAATTCAAATTAAACAATAGTAGATCGAGTTCCATTCTGAAAGTTCAATGTCAGTGGTACTTCCATTCTGAAAGTTCAATGTCAGTGGTACTTCCATTCTGAAAGTTCAATGTCAGTGGTACTTCCATTCTGAAAGTTCAATGTCAGTGGTACTTCCATTCTGAAAGTTCAATGTCGACTGCCACGTATGCAAATGTTTTGCGCTTGAAGCAGGGCAAACGCAATCTTTTCCCTCGGCCAGTTCGTAACGATAACGAACATTCCAAATTCTTCTTCGTCGCTATCTTCTCGCTCACAGAAGAAAGGAAATGATGCACGGGTTTCCCTTCCGGAAACGCATCAAGCTGTAAAAGTGCGTATGCGCGCGCGGGATAGAATATAAAAATGTTGTTTCCAGCATATGTTTTGTTATATACTGATTCCATTTACTGAGTTCATGTTGCGCGATTAAAATCTACTTTCTTGTATCGAGAATGGTTTAGAGAAACAAGGGCAACACTAACTTCATAAATATTAGATATAGCTGGAGCCTCTAGTTAATGGACCTTATTATGCATCATGCATGCAGTGTATGACAGTGTATATCAGTGTATGACACTGGGGGGAAAAAATGAAATCCATACTACGAAATTTGCAATTGCACCACGAAATCCATAGTATATCCATCTTATTTCCATACTGTATCCATATTATGAAAATATACAATTATTATGGTAATCAAAATCCATTCTATTTCCAATAAAGGTCCATACAAATATACAATTTCCATTCTAAGACCTTCTATGGATTTTCAAAATTTTTTCCAGTGTCATGATCGACTCGAAACTGAGCTTTACTCCTTTGATCACTGCGCATGATTTCTTTATTATATCTACTTTTTGAGAATACCATGTGTATAATTTTTTTTGTAATTTCATATCAGTATTATTGTAAATTTTTTTCTGGAGAAGATGTGCAATAAAAAAAATTGAATTGCAAGACCAGTTGAGCGGGGTTTCTTTATACATGGAAAAGTTTAAATTTTTCTAAATTTTATATAACTACTAATTACCTCAACAAGTACACTTTAAATCAAACACAAAACTATATGCTGTGCTTTTATTCATTTTGGTTTTCATAGAAACTTTTAAATGGAGTTTAAAGTATAGCCGTGCATCACGCACGTATGACTTAACTCGAAAGCAGCGTCTAGAAGTGCTTACGTCACGTGTTGTTTGAAAAACGACTTGTTGACCCAAACGTATGCATACATCACTGGAAAAAAAAGTGAAATCCATACTACGAAATTTGCAGTTTCACCACTAAATCTACCCTGGATTCCAGAGCCTTCAGTAAATAATAAATTAAAACGTCGTGAAGGCTCTGGTTCAACGGGAGGATTCTTTGATTAAACCACGCCAATCACAAAACAGAATTAGTGGTTTTAGTACATGAGATTCTGTACTAAAACCACTAATTCTGTTTTGTGATTGGCGTGGTTTAATCAAAGAATCCTCCCGTTGAACCAGAGCCTTCACGACGTTTCAATTTATTATTTACTGAAGGCTCTGGAATCCAGGGTACACTAAATCCATAGTATATCCATCCTATTTCCATACAATATCCACACTATGGAAATATATAATTATTATGGATAACCAAAATCCATTCTATTTCCAATAAAGGTCCATACAATTTCCATTCTATGACCTTCTATGGATATTCAAAATTTTTTCCAGTGCATTCTAGAAGTTTTCTGTATTAAAAATGCGCAACGTAAGCACTTATATAAGATCTATTGTTATGGGTCCATAAATGCGAAATCATGCAATGTGGCGAAAATGTTGTTATAGGGGATGACCCATAGTTACTTCTAGGAATAATGGTTTAGAACTATTTTGCGTAAAAAATGAGTTGTTGATTTTTTACGAAAAGAAAGAGGTTATACAGGATGAAGCAATCATCAGATGATTGTGCTAATTAGATTTGAAAAGCATTCGCATGGTGCTCTATATATGGCAAACGTAAAAGCGGGCTCGGTCGTAAAGGAGGAAGGATGCAATAAAACTAACCAAATTAATTGATTAATTTCGTAGATTTGGTTAAGGAATAGACACATTTTGAAGTTGAAAATTTTCCTAAAACTTTCTGTCCATGGTCGGGTGTGGAAATTTTTCTTGAGTGGAAATTGGGCTTTACAATTAGTTTTGTTAAATCAGCCGTTGCCTGGTATAACTCGTATTAAAGTTTAGTATTTCTAAGTTAAAGTATTTTATACTTCTTGTGAGGTTTCTATCCGAAGTTTCACAGCTTTAGGCATAAAACAAAGGTTGAAAAAATCACTATCCGATGTGATGGATAGCGCTTATCCAGCCTTCGTACAACCAGTTCCATGAAGTTGTTTAAATACATGCAACGGCCAAATATACCGTCTGAGTCTGTTCAAAACGTAGAAAAGCAATTGGAAATATGCCAAAATTAAAAATTTTGTTTGAATTCCTATCTTTGGCTTTGATTTAAACATATCGTTTTCGGATCTTTGGTTTAACGATGTCAATGCTCTGTATTTGCGGTTTGTGTTTTGTTTGCAACTGCAGTGTAGTCTATAATTAAAACAACAAAATTAATGAGAATCTGTCGGCATACCTGTACACTGGAACCTTGTCTTTGTATAGTTGGTTGGCACTGCCAATAGATTTCTTTTGATTCTTTATAACTTTCACAATATGTCCTTTCTTTCCTGTTGTATAGACAAAATGAAGTTTTACACTTTATAATTATAATACTCAACAATGAACTGCACGTCGCGTTATGTCAACATTAATGTCGTGATGTATACGATACATTACATAATATAAGCACGCACAAGAGCGCAACGTTTTATTTATTGATCTTTATTGTTAGTAACAGCGGGCACGCCAAGCGTTACAGATCAATTTCCCTCTTAGACATGAGCAAATATTTCATTGTTGATGCAATACAAGTAATTGTTCTCCTAGCAACACACTGTTTGGTAAACCCCAAGCTAAAAAAGACAATGGTATATCGAAATTATATAGGGAAGTGGGGAAATTAAACAATTACAAAAGCTTACCGGATTTTATAAAGCTAGCTTATGTAATGCATGCATATCTATAGAAAATATTTTTTGGAGAATGATGTCAGGATGGTTGGGATAAATGCTTAGATATACTATAAAACCTCCCTTCGTATATACAGTCAGTAGTTCAGACATCAAGTCGCGTGATGGCAACCAAAGAAAGGCGCGGTCTCAGTAAGCCCATAATTGTTTAGCTGTCAGGTGCAAGCTTCACTTATACCTACTTCATAAGTTCTCTTATATTCGCTTATATATTCATGCGACCAAGAACAAATGTGAAAGCATAACCTTATATAAAGCAGGTTTTCTTTTACCCATAGCTGGATATCACGCACTTTTAACAGTATTAAATCAATGCATTTTTGATGAAGAAATTGAAGCAAAGGATTCCCATTTATGGATGGCCAGAAATACTTGCAAACCAAGCACTATTTCAAAAAAGGATATTCTTTTAAGCATTTTAAAATTTGACCGCCATTATATTATTAATTGGCCGTAATTAATTGAAAAGTGCTATCTATCGTTATTTTATATTGCCTTATTGGTCCTGGCTGCTGATGTAAGCAATATATAACCTAGAAAGAAGAATGAGAATCACTTGAATAATGATTAATGGTGCAATGGTTTAGAAAACATAGAATTAGACTATATATATATAATATATATATATATATATATATATATATATATATATATATATATATTATATATATATATATATATATATATATATATATATATATATATATATATATATATATATATATATATATATATATATATATATATATATATATATATATATATATATATGATGTTGCATGTGACAAATTAATATAAACACATCTATAATATAGATGAAATTGAAATTAGCGGCACATTTGTTTTCAACTTATAAGCGCATATTCAGTTGTGGTTTTCAGCAAAATCCTTACTATTTAAGGAAATGGAGTGGATGGATCTTAAGGCTTGTTTACATTTGAAATTTTTGTTGCGGTTTTATAAATATAGGTGCGATTTTTGTCTTAATTCTGATGGATGTGAACGAATATGTTCAGATGAAGCGGGTCCATTTAGAATTCACCTATATATATTCCTTCACATGCATGTAGCTATCAGAAGAATAAAATAGAATAAAATAGAAAATTGCGGGTCTTCATGTTCGCGAGTTACTCTAACTATAATATAGTATCGTAACACATGAGTAATATTTTTAAGTATATCTGTAAATAAGTTTAATTTAATATCTTGTCATCTTTTGAGTTTTGTAAAAGTTACACGTCTGTTGTATACCAAACCAGAAAATTGAGATGGATAAGGATTCAACTATTCCTGAAAAATACAAGTATTAAAAGACGTTTCAAGCGAATTAAGGCCCTTCGTTGGGAAGTTAGTAGTCAACTACTTATAAGCTTGGTTCACTATAGCAATTTTGTTGGCGATTTTGTGTTTCTGACGGATACAAATGAGTGAACTCGCACATGACTTTGAAATGTCGACGTTTTATACTTGTATTTTTTTAGGTAGTTGACTGATCCCTATCTATCTCAAATTTCTGCCGATATGTTATATACTATGTCTTAAAAGTGATAGTGAGCAGTGAAACTTGATCGATCTAGATATATTTTTTCTTATATCAATAGTAGTAACAGGCCATTACTATAGTTCCGTTATTGACATAATACTAACATGACCAACACACTAGTTCAGTTCAACTTGGCATTGCAAAATTGAAAATAAAACACCTGCAGAATTGTGAAATGTATATTTGTTTTGATACCATGGAAACAAACATATAGAAAAACTAGAATAATCCATGCTTGACATATGGCCAGCACATGCAGGCCAAACTACAACTGACTATTGAGTGTAATGTAATTCCTTGTATAGTCCAACACTGATATTTTTCTGTGCGTGCATGCCGGCAGCATTTGTTGTTGTATATTTTAGCATTAATAGTTTTAAAACTTTCATTCATGTAATTATTCATACTCCAGCTTTGTGTCAAAGAATGAACAGTTTTAAAAATTCGTTGATTTAAACATCCTCAATTAATAACGAAACAAACCATTTTGATATTAACATCACTGACACTGTGAAGTTTTATTCTGTCATCAAAAATGGTAAGAAACTCCATGTATAGTAGGCCAACGGCGTACGAAAACTTAGTTATCGGGGCCCACGGCGTACGAAAACTTAGTTATCGGCTTAGGGGAGGACCCAGGTCGCACCATGCATAATTCCCACGCCAATCTGAAGTAAACTAGTTAGCTCTATCAATCATAGTCGTACGGGGGAGGAAGTGCTGGACCTCCCAATAATATTTTGGTTTGTATACTCCCCCTATAGCCGTCGGCGGAATTTCGGAAAATACAAAACGAAAAAATATTTTTGGGTCGGGCATATTTTTTGGGCGCCCCTTAAATTGTTCTCCATTATGTCTTGTAGAAACCTTCTATAATTGCCAGATTACATGTTAAAATATCGTTTAATACTGTTTAGTTTGCGCACTGACTTGCCTCGAAGCAGAGCGTGTTAACTGTTATAGCTTTTTTGCATATACTGACTGTGTTCTAAAAATTATTTTTGATGTGAGATCCTTTGGTGTTATTTTGGCAAAAACAACAAAACAATAAGCCACTGCGTTGTAAGAGTTTGTTTATAGCACATCGTAACTCAACGGGGAGGCGTATTTAATTATTATTAAACATATCGTACTGTACGTTTTTTGACAGGTTTTATCTTATCCCAAACCACAAACGTGGGGGTCCATTGTATAGGTAGTGTTTTAAATACAATAAGCTATACCGTGGCTTGTGTCTGAACGGCCTGAAAAAGATGTGCCCAGTGAGGAGGTCCAATTTATGTAGGTTATTGTTTTACAATAAGCTGCCGTAGTTCGTGTATAAACTGCCTGAAAAGGGTTAAAACAACACGTACATTTCAAGAATCAACTCCAAAACTGTTATTCTGTCATCGTTTTCAACTCCTTGAAATAAAAACACTTTCCACAATATACATTTTTTTCCCGCCATATACATTTTTTTCCCGCCATATACTTTTTTTCCCGCCATATACGTTTTTCCCCCCGCCATATACGTTTTTTTCCCCCCGCCATATACGTTTTTTTCCCGCCATATACTTTTTTTCCCGCCATATATACTTTTTTTCCCGCCATTTACGTTGACCTCCCGCCTTCTTCTCGTAAAATCCATGCAGATAAAATTGTGAACTTTTTAAAATCGATGATAAAAATCGCTGATTATTCCAGCATGCCATCAATTGCATTTCGCAAGGATTATAATTTACCTTAACCTTTTAATTTGCAGAAAATACATTGCACGACTCCTTGTTGAGCCTTTGTTAACATATTATGATAATTATCGTGAAAAGCTTTATAACGAAGGCACGATGACTCGATATTCGTTTTAAATTGCATGTATTATGGATAAGCGCGTGATACCACTTGCAGCGATATTTCTTGTCAATTTGGACCTCTCCCGGACTGCTATTGTGTCTGTAAACTGATAAGCTAAGTCTAATTTTAAGCATTTTGTGATTGCTAACAAGCAACGTGAAGACTATATTTTATATGTAATTGTTTGAAAAAATCTATATAAATGTTCACTCATGGGAAATCCATACTATATGGAATTTGCATGCACTTGCATCACTAAACCCATGGTATATATCCATACCATTATTCAATGTTATTTTGCGCTATATAAATATTAAAATTATTATTATTACTATTTCCATACTATACCCATACTAAGGAACTAATTAGTATGTGTAAATTGATTTCCATTCTATTTCCAACGAATATCCATAGTAAGCATTTTGAGAAAGTTTTTAAATATATGTAAAATTTAAATATATTATTTAAAGTGTGTTATTATCATTCATGAATACTGTCAAAGACTTTGCTCTATTAATTGGCATTTGAAGTGTCTTTACCTTATAAAATTTATCAAACGGATGTATTAATAGCGGGCTTTCTTGTTGAAAAGTGATTAATTTGTTGATTATCTTATCAAGCTATATATGGCCATGGGAATTATTATTCATGAAGATGTTACTGCACTGATTTAAACACGCGGGCATGCATATATATATATATATATATATATATATATATATATATATATATATATATATATATATATATATATATATATATATATATATATATATATATATATATATATATATATATATATATATATATATCAACATCTCATGTATGATTGAGCAAGTGATCGGATGATTCACAATTCGTTTTTATATAGGTATGCAAAAATTAAATATATTCAACGTTATTTTAAAAAGCCAATTATGAATTAGACTTCCTTCAAAGCCTACCTAAGGGTCCTTTTTTATTTTGAGATATAAAGGACGCGCGTTGGATGCGGGAAACTCCTCCCATCCGCATGTATGCGATTTCCCGCGCATGCGATTTTACAGCACAATGTACTTTCCTACTATATGTATACTGCATGTATATAGTGCCTTTATATATATTTAGGATATTGCCCTACCTATAATTGATCTTTTTTGCTCAAACCACTGGTTGAGACCCCTTTATAGATATCCTAACGGGGCAACTCCCAACCGCGGCTCTTCGCTTCCGCAGCAATTAAAAAGGGAATACCATCAACAAAGCGAAATTCGACATTTCGAAGGGCCTTTTTTCTTTTTTTTTATTCATATTTATTTTCAGGAAGCTTTCTCACAAAGTGATCTTCAGAAGGATCTTGAAAAAGGCAATAAACTAAATATACATGTAGAGCCTTCGCTCGAAACGTCGAATTTCGCTTTATATTTTTCAGGTAGTTGCATCCTACCAACGAAAGCTTGTTATTTATTGGAACTACCATAAGATATCTATGAACTACCTACACTGGCACACTGATCGTTGTATAATTTTCGGTACTTTTTAGAATAGACGAAATATTATCAATGGTTTCTTACACAAAGATAAAAGTTGGTTAATTACTCTATCAAAATTTCTGTGATCACAGTAAAAATTTTGCAGAGTTAAATTCTAAGTTTTGAAGGCAGTTTGCGGGAACTGAGTCAGTCTTTAACATGCACTAGCATGTAGCATGTTAAAGACTGACTCAGTTCCCGCAAACTGCCTTCAAAACTTAGAATTTAACTCTGCAAAATTTTTACTGTGATCACAGAGATTTTGCTAGTGTAAACCAACTTTTATATTGACAAGAATGAAAATATTTACACAGCGGAGAGAAAGAAACTTCATTTATTTTACAACGGCACATATATACTAGCTATATAGTCAAATATGTGCCTCTATATATTTCGTTTATTGCCTTACCAATATAATTGATTTTCTTTCTTGAAACCACTGGTTGAAACGGATTTTATGGATATCCTAACGGGGCAACTCCCATGAGCCATAATTCTGCATACTTCCGCAAAACCTAAATCCTATTTATGCTAAGGCTAATTCTTTGGCTTTGCAGTTAAAATCCAAGGTGGCAAATATAATATAGCTATACTGTTGACATATGGCCTTATTAATTTGTGGTGTGATATTACAGTCAAGACGTCTGAGAAATTCTAAGTGTTGAAAGTAAACATGGCAGATATCCAGATCCATGATAAGAATGTTTTGACAAACTTAATTAATTTTCTAACCACTAACCCAGAGTCCTTTGTTATTGCAAGTTTTGCAATATTATAACTTGAGAGGTAGCCTCTCCCCGCCGCCCCATAAACTGGAATATTTTTTTCAAAATCCTTACTATGGAAGTAGTAGTATTGATCTTCGTTGAAAATAGTAGGGAAATCTAATTTTCATATACTAATTACAATTTTCATACTATGGATATGGAAGCATTGGCGTATAATTGAATAAGAAAAAAAAGCTATTTTAGTAGCTAATGTTTTTAAATAGTTTTTGTTGCTCTCTTTTCTGTGACAAGAATCAGCAATTTCTTCCTCTAGTAGTGCAATCACCATAGTCAAGGTCCAAGGGAGAACGCCAGAACTAACTTCTTGTAATAATACTTTTTGATCGCGTGATTTGTCATTTTGAATACTGAATTAATCTATCATTGCCATGACGTTCCGAACACGCGCCGAACAATTTCCGAAATTTGAAATAACGCACGTTATATTTGAAATTGTATATACATCCCTACAATAATATAACATACCGTTATTTCAGATATCGTACGTTATTTCAAATTCCGGAAATTATATATGTACATCCCTAACGTTATTTCAAATTTCGGAAATTGTTCGGAGCATGTTCGTATGATGGCGTTCCGAACACGCGCTGAACAATTTAGGAGATCCTAGTAACTATGTCCCTAACGTTATTTCAATTTCCGGAAATTGTTCGGCGTGTGTTCGGAACGCCATCGTAATGATTGATTAAGTATTCAAAATAGCAATAAAAAAATTATCGCGATCAAAAAATCGAAATCATAGAAAGATACTATTGGCATATTTCGTCTGTTTTAAAAAGTATCTAAAATTATTTTCCCTCTCGTGAAATATGCATGGCATGTTGTAATCCAGACAAATTTTATATTAGGCCAATTATCTTTTAGGCCAATGGAAATTGATATCATGTTTCTCGTCCCCGCCCGCATGGGATTTATCTGCCGCACGAAAATTTTTCATTATTCATTATTTTTGAAAAATTGGCTTAAAAAACACCATATTCATCTCCAGATTTTGCTGCATTCCGCAAGCACAACTCAAATCGTATCTTTCTAAAGATATTACTCGCCATATTTTCATGTCAGCCCTGGTATGTGTAGAAATATGCTGCAGTCTGTAGACTGTAGTGTAGGACGTATTAAATTAAAATGAATTTATATACACCAATTTTTAATACTTCAGATTTTTATGGGGTTTTTACTGGGTCAAGGAAATTATTGACAAGCAGAATTCAAATACAAAAAATAATGAAAAATGAAAAAATCCCGCTCCAAATTTTTGAAAATTGTGGACGAGAAACATGATATCAATTTTCATTGGCCTTACCGTTGTTAATGTACTGGAAATCTTTGAAACTAATTTCCGTATAGGAAACCAAAACGTTTAATCATATGGATGAACATACCAATAAAATTTAAATGATATGTCTTTGTTGGCATCGCTTTTGTATAACGTTAAACGTTTACATGTATATTATTATAATATTATTATTATTATTTGATGTTTAATGACACATTGTCGCATACAAGATGAATTACAAATTTATGACTAAATAACTATTACTATAATTATAAAAAGATTCAATTAATCTAAAATACGGCTCCCTTAGCAATTTAGTAATGTTGTATTTAAACTTAGCAATTGCCGATTGTGCTTGGAAAGCCAAACTATTCTTGAAACGTTTATCAGTTCTACACTTGTACAATGACAAATTATTAGAATGCCTGACATACTGTGTGTTGATGACCGCAATCTCTAGTCTAGTTCCGCTTTTGTGGAGGCTGCTCCATTTACTGTTCTAGAACATTGGAACATATGCGTGCAACCATGCATTACTATTTCAAACTAACCAAACAGTATTAAATTGATACGATCAATAATAGTTTACAAACTTTCTTTACAATCGTTTATTTGAAGGATTTTATTCTGGCCGTTGTTGTTGCCTTGCCGTCCTACATTGTAAGGTCTCTGATGACCAGCGAGATGGTGCAATAGGTTAAAGATATAATTACATCATTTGCAGGGGGTGTTGGGACATGTTAGAAACCGCAATATACCGCACAAAAATGCATCTAAAACCGCAAAACCACTTGGAATTTCGATGAAAACCTATATGAAAATTGCCTTCGCAAAAGAATCTTAGACCGCAAAATCCAGGTCGAATACATGGAATGGAAGATTGATGAAATACCTATTTAACAACATTTTTTATGACATTGACGTGGGTGGTCGAATAATCGCAAAACGTTTCCTGATTTTACTCTATAGATTTATCAACGGAGATATACGTCATAACAGGTTGGTGTGTATAAAAGCAATGTCCATGGTAGCAAAATTTATCAGTCTTTCATTACGTTGAAGCAGTAAAGCTAAAGTTGTTGACGTTTGTGTGGTAAGTTGTTTTTAAAAATTGTTTGAACTAAAGCACGAAGAATTAAATCGTGTTTCAGATTATAGTGGAAGTTTTTTTTTATCTTTATGTTTGCCTATTGATTGATTATATCTGTTGCTTCGTTGGGGCACAGTAAAGGTTGCTATCCAGTTGAGTGCATGAATTTCATACGTCATGTTCATAAGTTTGAATCCTTTTAAATTTTATCTATATGAAATAACTAACCGAATAAAAGGACAGAATTAATTTAGTTATCTGTATGGTTTAAATTAATGTGCCGTGCGTGCACACGCGTATATCATGAAAAACACTTAACTGCTGCATAAGATATGATATTATAACAATTTTTATGATATCGTTAACACTGACCACTGTCTTAGTATATACAGGGGCCGCCGGTTGTTCAAAGGCGGGTTTATAGCGCTAACCCTCGGGGTTAAAATTTAACATGCTGTTTTAGTTTATGTATTTCTGCACGTCTGTTTGTTTCAAAACTTCAGAGAAGTAAACCCCTATCGATCCAGACAACTGATCTCTGAAGAAATGTTTCCAAATTTATAGACAAGCTGTCAGGAAGTTTGCTTTGAATTTTAGGTTAACCCTAGGAGGATTAAGCTAACCCAGCAACCGGCCCCAGATCAATAAGATAAGATACTTTATTTTACGACGAAAGCCTCATCACCTTTAGGTGGTTTTCACGATGATCATGAGATCATTTCATGAGGTCAATGGTCGTAGACTATATATATTATAGATTTTACATTAGGTTTATGAGGTCTTTATAATAATTCACATTTATAATGACAGTGATCTCAGAGTTATATCTCACGGTTATAGCAATTATGCCAAATTATGGGTTATATGCATGTAGTTAAGGTTTCTCTCTAAGTTCAACCAACAGTAATTGGACTGCGTAAAAAATCCCTAAGTATTTTTACTCAAATTAACCTGAGTAAAATAATGCACTCATGAGAGCTGTTCGAAATTTTAAGTAAAACTTTTAAGTAAAATTTTATTTTTAAGTAAAATTTTTCAAAAAAAGAGTCAGAATTTTTTGCATTGTGTAATCTTATTTTGCATTTTCTTTCTGCTGTATTATATAGAGTTAAATCAAAAGTTAAAATAAGGCCAGGGAGAACACTGTAGAACTACTCAAGAGATATAACTTTGCACATGCTATCCAGCAATTCATAGCAAGTGCCAAGGCAAATCGTTCACGGAGCGATGACATGGCTGATCGTTCGTGACGTCTTTGTTAAATGCTTTATTGGATTAATTTCGTGAACACGAGTCACGCATCCTATATTCTTAATTAATAAGCCTCCCACTCAGATTTTGATATTGTTTTCATGTTCGTGAAATATGCGGCAAATTATTCCAAACCAGCTAAAATCTACAGCTCATTTAGGAAAGTATTATATGGCGACTATATGCCCTGCAAAACATAAGTTATACGTATCATAGTCCTATAGTCTATACTAGCTAGAAGTTAATTGGAGTGGAAAGTGGTGTCTTCTTTATGTATACAAAAGTTGTGTTTATTTATGAAACCACGGAAACAAAGAGGCCTTTCTAAAAGTTGGCCCACGACTCATGCGGCAAACGATTGATGGGCTTCACCTTGACCACAATTCCACTCAAGACAGTCAAGTCAAGTGTACTATTTTTTTTATTTTCGTTGGATAAATTTCATTTGTACACAAACCTGATTCATGGCCAAGTATATATCTTTCTCTCATCTTCATGTAGGTAATAAACATAATATAAATCAACTCCAATTACAGTAATCCATGTTGATTTTTTCGCGTCGTTTTCACGGAGTTGCAATGCGATATATCCTCATGTCATCAACAGAAGATTAAAACCCTTTAGCCATAATATAGATCCATTCGCTAAGCCAGTAAAGCTTTTAAAACCCTTGCCACAGACATCCATAGGTCCGGTAGTATATATACCCATGTAATCCATGTGTAACAGAATTAAACCCTGCAATCCATTCACAATAGTTATGTCACATTCTACATTTTTCATCGACATAACTATGGCTGGGTTGTTAAACCTGTAAGAAAACCATTAATCAGATAATTAGTAAGATGTTAACAGCTGTATGAATTTATTGCATACCTAATGATACATTGTCACAATTATCATGAGGGTGTCACAATTATCAACAAAATATTTTAATTAAGTAACTTACCCAAGGTTACGTCGTCCGGCACATTTGTGTTTTCAATTCGTGATGTGCCGGACGACGTAACCTTGGGTAAGTTACTTAATTAAAATGTTTAAATGGCAGTCGATCCAAATCTTGTTCGTAATTATCAACAAAATTGTCTAGAAATTCGATCCGGATTTAATTCAATTACTTCCAATTGTTATTCCTATTGTTCTAAATTTTAATTCATTTAATTTCAAAACTTTGGGGTCCAAGGTTAAACTAGGTCATTCCATTATATGTGATGAAAGATATATGTACAAACTATATATTTAGAAATTTTCTTTGTACTACAGGGAAAATAATGTACATTTCATATTTGAAATACACTATATATAGCTGCTTTCATAGCATCATTACGATTTTTTTTAAATTTATAATCGCACGCCAATTTCCTCTTTGGAAATTAACCTACTGGAAAAATGAGTGCATAGACTTTCAATAATATCCAATAGTCAATACTCCATGTATGACTGACACAAAGAATACAGGGTGTCCCAAAAAAAATGCCCCTTATCATATTTTGTGGTATTACATCGTTGTGCTGAGTGGTTATATTACTACCTTAACAATGAACATATTACGTAAATCGTTGCATTTTTTCGCACCAAAATATTTAACCGTTCGCCTTCTAGAGTTACTTAAGGTGGCGACACCAATATTGCCACTTGTCCAAATTGAAGATATTAGGTTTAAACATATTACGGAACGTCATAAAATATTTTAATGGTGAATGGCTACATATCTTTTCTAAAACTTGTCAGTAGTTGTAGCCAAAATCGCAAATTAATTTTCTGTAAAAATAATGAAGCAATCCCCAGAAAAGGGGAAAGACTAGTGCCGAAATCCCAACATTTGCTCTTTCATGGAACAAATTGAACGGAAAACAGCAAATTTAAGGCATTTTCCCAACCTTAGCTTTGCCTTTGTCAATTTGCCGGGGATTTTTCATCGTTTTTTATTAATTTCTACAAGAAACAAAAGTTTAATAATAGAGATAAAAAACATTTTGTTTTTGAGCAAAAAGGTGGGTAGAAACTTTAGAAATCCTTCTGCAAAGTTTGCATTATTTTCAACCTAATTTCTGTAATTTGAACGGGTTGCAAAATTGGTGTCGCCACCTTAAGTATCTCTGGAAGCCGAACGGTTAAGTATTTTGGTGAGATAAATACTACGATTAATATAATATGATTGTTTTTCAACCCACTGCAAAAAATTTGAACCTTTGATTAAATATAGCGAAGTAATACCACCAAATATGACAGGGGGCATTTTTTTTGGGACACCCTGTACAATGGCTCGTAATATGGTATAATTATAGGATGGGTTCCACATCCCATGAGGCGAAGGTGCATGGTTATATATAGGTAACTTTATACTAGAAATTTTACTCAAGACATGCAGGGAGAATCCCTCTGCTTTACAAGGTTAGCTTAAACAAATTCTATTTTAAATGTTTGTTTTGAAAACCATAGAGAGGTATAGCTAATAGCGTAGTGTATACAAAATAGATGTCGTCTTTAACCTTCATCTCTTTAAGCAAGGCATCTTAATAGATGGGTTCCACATCCCGAGGGGAAGGTGCATGATTATATATAGGTAACTTTATACTAGAAATTTTACTCAAGACATACACTACAGGGAGAATCCCTCTGCTTTACAAGGTTAGCTTAAACAAATTCTATTTTAAATGTTTGTTTTGAAAACCGTAGAGAGGTATAGCTAATAGCGTAGTGTATACAAAATAGATGTCGTCTTTAACCTTCATCTCTTTAAGCAAGGCATCTTAATAGATGGGTTCCACATCCCGGGGGGAAGGTGCATGATTATATATAGGTAACTTTATACTAGAAATTTTACTCAAGACATACAGGGAGAATCCCTCTGCTTTACAAGGTTAGCTTAAACAAATTCTTTTTTAAATGTTTGTTTTGAAAACCATAGAGAGGTATAATAGCGTAGTGTATACAAAATAGATGTCGTTTTTAACCTTCATCTCTTTAAGCAAGGCATCTTAATAGATGGGTTCCACATCCCGAGTGGAAGGTGCATGATTATATATAGGTAACTTTATACTAGAAATTTTACTCAAGACATACAGGGAGAATCCCTCTGCTTTACAAGGTTAGCTTAAACAAATTCTTTTTTAAATGTTTGTTTTGAAAACCATAGAGAGGTATAATAGCGTAGTGTATACAAAATAGATGTCGTTTTTAACCTTCATCTCTTTAAGCAAGGCATCTTAATAGATGGGTTCCACATCCCGAGTGGAAGGTGCATGATTATATATAGGTAACTTTATACTAGAAATTTTACTCAAGACATACAGGGAGAATCCCTCTGCTTTACAAGGTTAGCTTAAACAAATTCTTTTTTAAATGTTTGTTTTGAAAACCATAGAGAGGTATAATAGCGTAGTGTATACAAAATAGATGTCGTCTTTAACCTTCATCTCTTTAAGCAAGGCATCTTAATAGATGGGTTCCACATCCCGGGGGGAAGGTGCATGATTATATATAGGTAACTTTATACTAGAAATTTTACTCAAGACATACAGGGAGAATCCCTCTGCTTTACAAGGTTAGCTTAAACAAATTCTATTTTAAATGTTTGTTTTGAAAACCATAGAGAGGTATAGCTAATAGCGTAGTGTATACAAAATAGATGTCGTCTTTAACCTTCATCTCTTTAAGCAAGGCATCTTAGAGCAAAGAAAAACAGTGTTTAAGCATGTGTAAGCATTGATTAAGCGTTGTGCAAACATGGTTTAAGCCTGTATGTAAAAAATATAATCAGTATGATGTACAACACTAAATTGAAACCATTGGCATTTTTTGGACCGTGAACATATTTTCATAGAAATTATCTATTGAAAATGGTCAGAAACATATTTTTATCAGAGACCTTGAGGTCGGTTTGTTTCCGCAAATGCATTATAAAATGTAAAAGTAATTGCGCATTATGCATAATATGATTAATGAAAGTGCAATTTAATACCATTAGTATTATAGTATTAATATATAGTCCGAATATACATGCAGATTACTACTTCCCAGGATAACGTTTGTATTTTCCCCTTAATCAGTACCTTATTCAATTTATTCTGTATATATGAATATCTTGTTTCTTATTATAGCCTGCACCATACGAGAGCTATAGCTACTCTCTGGCTCTGAGTAAAATGTTTTTCGTGCCGCAGTGCTTAGGCGTGTGCGCGTGAATTTCACCAAGTTTTTCACATGCAACCGTCCTTGAGACTTGAGTCGAAAATCGTACGCCACGTTTGATATCCGGCACAAAATTGCCAACAATTCACGTGTGGAATTCACGCACAGACGGCGAAATATAAAGTGCATGCCAAGCAATTGCACACGCGAATAACATTTTGCTGATTTGCTCAGGGGATATTGTTCTCGTGTGCTACAGGTTAAAACGTGTATAATCAGAGCCTGGTGTATAATCAGAATACTGTTGTTATGTGTATTACTATAAATACTAGCCCGCGTATAGGGAGAATTGTCATATACGTAATATCTAATTTTAACTTTGGAAGTGACCCAAAAAGCTTAACCAATGCATCAAGGTGTCATGCTATAATGTTTTTATTCATCATTTATAATCCCACGCAAATTGGCTCACTAAATATAGACGAAACCAACCGGCTAGCAAGTGTTTATGTGATATTGATTATTGTGTCCCACCGACACCACTGGCAACACTTAATGCGTGTATTGTTTTTGAAGACGACACGCATCACGCCATTTTACGATTGTTTTGCAACAAGCTCAAAAACATGCCCAAACACGCCAAACAAAACACATGGGAATAACTGATTGATATTTGCAGTTATAGATCGGTGCTTTCAAAGCAGCCAAACGTTACCACCAGTGATTTATTTCTCTTTTCCTTGGGCCGTTCAACACGCTGTTAACATTGTCTTGGCTTTTTCAATATTTTTAGATATCGTCGTTTGCTATTTCCGTCATGTCGTTTATAGCCGTATAGAGCATGCGTATTGAAGAGGGATTTTAACAACTTAGACTTTATACACAATGCCAAAGCTGCTGTCCAACAGAACTCGGGACTCATAAAGGACGAAAATAACAAAACATATAGAGGTAGACGTAGACGACAGTGCCACAGTGACCGGTCGAAGAAAACGTTTCTCCGTTGAATTGCTTTTGAACTTGGTTTTGCTTAGAGGAAAAAGGAGATCGAATTTATCAAATTAAAGACCAACGTAGCCAAAAACCGGCGAAAATTGTACTTTGGTCAATTGTAAACATTACCGTCAACGACAACGCACTAAAATTCATACCTGCGTAAAGCTGTGAAAGGACTCTATTGGAGAGCATATATAGACCTCCCTAAGGACAACGAAAGGACTAAATATGTGCAATATGAAATTACTTGACAGGAGCTCAGTTCATCACCAAATGATCGACAATGATGTCGGCGGTTTCAATGATGTAAATGTAAGCGACATTGGTCAAACGCTAGCACAACTTGGCGATAATTTAAATGATGAGGCGCTCAGAAAATCGAACTACATTCATCTTGCCGCTATTGCAGGAATTGTTTTGACCTTTGCAACTATCATTACTCTCAATAACATTGCGTAGTATGTCGCTGTTTGCCTGGAAACGTTGAAATTTGCTGGCGAAGTGGACATGCTTGGTCTGTCTATGCCGAAGGAATGGAGAATGAACTGATGGCAAAGCGTTGCGATGCCATGTACATATTTTTGTAAATATTCAGATTTTGCTAGCTGTATTCGCACAGCATAATATACATATGGGTTATCTTATAGTAAGGGATATAGACTTTGAATATGGTATATTTTATATTATGTTTTATATTGTATATCTTTGGCCGAACGGTGTCACCTATATATAATATAGGAAGAAATTTTAGAACTGCGGTGCAGCATAATGCATCTTGTACAAAAATATAAGTATTTTATAAATGTATATATAGAACATAGTCATAGAGCATATATATTGTAGTTTTGTTATACTCATCTAGTATTGGGAAACATAGTTTTAATATAACAAATAAATAAAATAATATAAAGTGTTTAAAGAATATAACTGAAGAAGAGGTTTCGTTTTAAAATCTACTTTGTCTACGCTACCTTCCTCCGCGTGTCCGCTATAATATTTATGCATCAACCGCGTTCAAAAAGCTTTTTGTCCCTCAAAAATTACTATCCTAGTCCTACATTTAAAGTTTTTTCCTTTAAGACAAGGCTTTTCTCGGTATTAGTAGGAATTAGACACATATATAGATAGTGCTACGTTTTTGCTTTGAAGAGTTCCTCCGCGGCCGAAAACCTGCTGTACCGCTGCATTGACATTGTCCTTTTGAATTCACTAAGAGGATCTTGTTTCAATCCAAACCAAAATATAGCCTAAACACTATTTTAGGTAATAAAGAATCAATATCAACCTTTCCATTCGACTGAATTGTGTTTTAAAACCCATAAAAGCTTGCCTAAAGTGAATGCATGTTTTGGGAACGGAGCGCGACGCGGCCAGCATGTCTTCTCATAGCACTTGTTACATGTTTGTATACAAAACTGTTCTAAACACTAATATTTTTCATTCAATACCATACTTGGGTCTTTCTAAGCACAGTGTTATATGATCCAGTTTAGGAATAAGGAAATGGATGCAGATTTACAAGCATTAAAAGCGATAGTATTCAAAGCAAATTGAGACAGCGCCATGAAACGACTCCGACATCTAACATGTCTGCAACACATTTGCTGTACTGTTTGTACAAATTTGCTTTAAACATTGATATTTTACACTCCGTACCATACTTTGCTCTTTCTAAGCACAATATTGCATATTTAGTTTAAGACTAAAAGCATTGGCTGAAGGCTAAAACAGTTTAGGCGAAGCAAAGACGCAAGTCGTCTTCGCACAGCGCTTGCGACCCCGACATTCTCTTGTGACTTTGTACAAAATTGTCCTGAACATTATTTTATACATTTAATACCGTATACGGGATAGTTAGATATTCCCAGGCACAATATTACATATTTAGTTTGCCACTTAGCAAATTTAATTCATATTAACACCATTAAAAACGAAAGTGTAACTATTATTTCTGAGTTTAAGCAAAGTGAAAAAGTGAACCGGTTTGGAGCGGCCGATTTGGCCCGGCACTCGATATATGGCGTTGTACAAAATTGCCCTAAATATTTATATTTTGCAATACTACGATTAGATCTTTCTGAGTACAATATTACTTGATTTAAGTAATGATTATGAACACTGAATGTGTGCTTTATGGCCATTTTTAAGCGCGAGAGTAGCTATATCATCACTAAAGGCGAAGCAAATTTAACGAACCATGATGGCCATGTAACTCGCGTACGATTTCCAGCGCAATGTATTGCATGTATGTTCGCACAAAATTTCTCTAAAGCCTAAACATTTATATTTTCCACTAAACACAATTTTACATGATTTAGTTTGAGAGTCCTTAAAGGACATTCGATTCATATTATAAGCAATAAAAGCAAGATTAAATTGACAATATACTATAAGGCAAAGCATTGAAGTGAACACACAAGCTTCGCTTACAAGTCTATCCTTCGTTCGCACGATACTTGATGTTTTTATACTGTTTGTACAATATTGTCGGCCTATAAACATTTATATTTTCCACTCTGATATTTCCAAGCAAAATGTTACATATATATTTTAGTTGACTGCGAGCATCAAAGCCTATAAAGTCGACAGTAACTGAAGATTTCCAAAGGCCAATCTGAGTGCAAGATTGATAAGCGCGTCTGCAACAGTTTCAATACAACATAAGTCATAACCTTAAGATATTTTCAAATTATTACATGGAAAATATACGAATCTTTTATTATAAAGTATTTAACTGGAGAATCAAATGATGGCATGATGAAGCTATAATTGTGGATTAAAGGGTATAATGGAAGAACGCGGCCATTTTATTGAGTGACTCGCGAGGGCTGCCATAACATGAGTCGGCAATTGTTATATTATACGCGATTTCAAATGCTTTATGAATTATGTGGCTGTTATATTAATTTACTTCGCATTGTAAGTCAAGGGAAAATGGTCTGTGTAATGTAAGAAATTGTATAGATATAATGTTAACGAAAAAAAAAACCCTCAAAAAGTGTCTAGTTGCATGTCGGTAACAGGATCTGCGGTGATTCCCCATGGCATATAGCTCTGTCGATATATACGTTTCATTTTAAAGTTCATGACTCGGCACAAATTCCTCCTTTATAAACGAAAGGCTCTTAGTACTTAGAAAAGGATTCTGTAACCTTATAAGTATGGTGAAATATCGTGCAGTTACTTAGAAGAAAAAAAGTCAGAATTGAATCAGACTCATGATATGCATGACTCCATTATTTCAACTGCCAAATATATACTGTACTGCAATCTCTGATGCAGTGATGGCTGAGTATAATGTCTATAAGTGCAAATCAAAATTTGAACACAATTCTATAGAGCTATATACTATATTTGTATACTTCAAAAGTCGAGAGTAGCTAGAAATCTGAGATGCATGTGACATACTTGAGATTAAGAGGAAGCCATGCACTATATAACTTCCATACTCGAAGATCCTTCTCTGGAAACATCGAAGTTCTTGCAATATTTTTTCAGGTAGTTTGATCTGTGATTTCTCAAGTATAATACATCCCTCAAATAACGTATACACTGAGACTTAGTTGAACAGTATATGCATGTTGATAGGCCTATATATACACTTCAGTAAATTGCTTTGACTTGGGGGTATAGAAATGTCATGCATGCCATGAATTTTCAATCCGCGAAGGCGATTTCTTGGTTTAGCCTTGCACCAAGACTGATCTGTTGTAACAAGTGTGTAATAAAATTAGTGGTTTTGGTTTTGCCCAAGTTTTTATAAACTACAGAAAAGGCATCACAACACTCCAGTAGATCAACTTGTATTTATAGGGGAGGCAACATGTTCCTTTTCTGATCTCTAATTATAGAGCCCAACGAGCTTGCATGCATGTTTTATGTCACGACGAAGTGGTACATAAGTTTTGTCACTTTTGAGTGCATAGAGTAGAAGAAGACTTATCACTTAGAATTGTGAATATAGGCATTGTTTTGATCCAAATTAAGACTGCAAGAATCTTCCTAAGTGTTTGTGTACAAAATTCCCCTTCTCAAGAGAGTGTCAAATTATACCAGACCGGTGTGAAATAAGTTTGATTTCCATTTTTGGTAAAATAATTTACTTTCTGCATGCAGACTGCAGCATGACTACTGAAAGTTGAGTCTTTAATTTCTTGAACTAAACTTGGAAGTTTATTTAGACCTGGTAGACTTTGACAAGAGCTGCCAAGGTCGTTAGTGAAATTTTGAATAATTTTTATAGCTTCAGGTCTCATGATTTCTTAACTATAAAACATCTTTCGGTTTTGTATACTTTTATATTACATGATGAAATTAGTTAGCGCTATTTCAGCTCCTCGTTTGCAAAAATTAAACAATTTAATACCGATTTCCGCCCTTTGTTTATAGCACATCATTTTTCTTAATGCATGCTTACACATATTTTATAAATTCAAGATTCCAAACGAATGAACTGCTAACCTTTCTACCCTCAGGCATATTGTGTTTTAGTTTTCTTTTGGAAAATAATGTTTGCTATAGTAATGTAGGCATGACAATGCACTGCATGTATATGTTTGCACAAAATTTCTCTAAAGACTAAACATTTATATTTTCCACTAAACACAATTTTCGATTCGACATTCGATTCATATTATAACCGGTAAAAGCAAGAGTTAGCCTACTATTATATTAAGAGTTGCGATAGTTTGAGATGAAACATTGGGCAAGCTGAAAATTTTGCTTGACCAGAATGGGAAGATTAGGGCAGCATCACTTTAACTTCACCACACTTATTGCATTACAGTATACGCATAGACGTGACTTGCCGAATTTGTGTGATCACTGTTCGTTGAGATCGCTTTCAGTTGACGTAAATCACATAGAACACGTATTTGCAACATCATATTAAACAACAGGTATGAGGTATCTGTTACAAGATTTTATAATTATATCTACGTACGCAGAAACCACAAAAGAAACATATTTTCAAACACACTGGAGCATAGATAACTATATAGAAGTCAGTCAAGGTCGGTCATGTAGGGGCCCAGGGGGATATTGTGGTAATTATGGGATGCTTCTGGATCAGCATGACATATTAGGATGGATTAAGGATATTCAGTTACGTCGTTAGTAAAAAGAGGATAATGATTGACAATGATGATTGGTTGTGCAATTCATACAGGTTTGATCCAATATATCCAAAAGTATCCTAAATTGTATCCTTAATTATCCCCCAAATTTATCGCGAATGCTTGTAATTTGTTACGTACGTTACTTATAAAAATTAATTACTTTCTACTATATCTAAAATCATGCGCAACAGCGAATTACACGATCCTGCATAAACTGAGTCGCGGATATAATCGATATATATACTCATATACTTATATACTATTCTTGGTATAATATATAAACAGCAGAATTTATAAATCAATCAATAATATATGGATACGTATCGATGTGGAGTTTTATACACAGATAATCTTTGTTTTCATTGGACAAGTAGAATATAGTACGAGTATTATTATTTAGTTTATTGTAAGAAGGAATAGCTCAAAATCTTAAAGTTGCATATATAGATAGGCACAGGTGTTTGCGTTTGGCAAAACTGTGTATACTATTAAAGATACAAGGATTTTGCGCATCTCACTCGATAGAAATAATTGTGAAAGGGTTTTGTAGATGCAAATTTTGAGTGTAAATTTTTATCCATTTATTAGCCCTAACCAGGAGCAGAAGTGAAAAATGCAACTTTAAGCTCTCTGGCAGGAATCCAACCTACGATTCCGGGGAAGCGCTGCTCTAAAATTAAACTATACTCACATAAACAAATAACTTATCCAATAATCCATAACCAGTATAACCCGTAAGATGACCCTGAATTTACTGAAATGGTCTATTTATCATTTGAAAATTGCATTGTTGTTATATCTGATGTACGCTGTTGTGTTTAAAAACCGTTTCCCATGGTTTTGGAAGTATACCCATAAACAGGCACCGCCAACGCGTTAAAATGGAATAAATTACCACAAATCTTCAATAACCTGTTGTTGCCCTGCACGAAAACCTCAACGCATACGCTTATATGTTTGTATAAACGCATTCAGATATTTTTTGTTGATGCTATATGCATGTGAAGAATAATGATACACGCGGACAAAGATGAGAAAATTCACAAAGTTTCAGTTTTGAAAACTTAAGTATTTAACGGTTCCAGTTTAAACATAGAGGAAAATATAAGAACATAGTTATCTGTATGTATAAAAACCGCAACAGTTCAAGTACAAGCCACAATTGTAAACTATTTTTAGTGTGCAGTTTTGATAGTTTCAGATGTTGATGTTATTTAATGAATTTTAATGAATGCTGATGAATTTTATATACTTAATGAAATATATTGTGTTATTATATAACAAGATTATTAGCATTAATTAAGATGATGTTATTTATCATCGTTATTTCAATTTCACTGAAAAAACACTTTATTATACTGCATGTACCTATAAAACATGTTCATCAAATCTCGTGTATACATACCATGAATTATATACCATTTTATATACCATATGGACCGTCATATATATTCGATACTATACTTTGCTTCACGGAATGGCTGAGCCGTGTACTATATAGAGTGAACTTCACCCACTCAGTATCACGTATTCACGTCAAAACAACAAACCAAAAGGAAAACAGGATTTTTGTTTATGAATTTATAAGGAAGTCATCCCCAAATTTGGCCAGAAAAACGTTACACTTAGGGTGTTGGCAAAGCCAAGATCAAATGACCTCAACAGTCACAAGGACTTGTTATAGGAAGGGGAAAGTAAC